AGACAAATTTTCTACTTCACTGAATAACATTCTTGCTTCTCCATAGTGGAAAATTAGGTGTAGAGCCTGGAACTAGAGATTGTCCTTAATTTTAGAGGCAAATCCAGAGACACAATGGGGTTTTGGAGGGCCATATTGTCCTTTATGTTAGATAATCCAATACAATGATGCTAAGGAAGACAGACTAAGGATGCCAGTCTCTTTTGCCTCTCTTCCATGAGTCAGTGCAAGATCCAATCATCTGTACCACATCTACTCTTGTGATATTTTCACCTCCAGACACACTATATTCAACAGTCAGAGGGAAAGAACACCTGAACTTACAATACTGAACATCAGGTCTTGGATGAAACATTACCCATGCACAGCAGCTTTGTCTAACCTCTCATAGGGGACTTAATGGCCAGTTGGGTCACATTGTCATTTTTTTCTTCATTATACCACTTGTCACTAACGATATTTTCTTGTCTACATGTTTTTTTGTTGTTGTGTTTTATTATGTCTCTTTTTTCCCACCCCCTGTTGAGTGCACTAAGTTCCATGAGAAGAAGGACTTCATGTTCTGTTCATTATAGCAATGCTCTATCTAGCACAATAGGATCCTTGCAGCCACTCAATTAATGTTTGTTGAATGAAAGAATAAATGGTGGAAGAGACAAAATTTAAGCCACTCTTCTCTCACCTCAGCAGATGCCTGTCCTAATGTCCCTCCAAACACACAACATTTACTAATAAAATTAATTGAGCTGTCATATCTGAGATGGGATTACTAGACATTAAAGGCCTCATGGTCTCATGTGCCCAGTATTCACACCTGAGATATTGATTGGGTCTTCTCTATTAGAAAGGGTCTGTAACACTCTTGAACTTCAGCTTCCCTCTCATGAAGGAAAATCTATCATCTCTTAGTGAATATTTTCATCATACTTCTCCAGCACACACACACACACACACACACACACACACACACACACGGAGTTCTTGCAAAATATTAAACAATAAAGTTGTACATTGTACTTTGATTAGCATTATTTTTTCCTATACAGAATCTAGGAACTGTGTAAAGAAGTGGGCCTGGAGATATCTGACAAGGCAAGATTTGGAAATTTCTGCATGTCTAACCATAATACCATTAAATAGACCCAAACTTATAACTCTGGCCTAATTTTGACATTTTTATTGCATTTTCCTCTGGAACATATCATAGAGTCAAGTAAAAGCTATTTTGAGTCAAAATAATCTGTCTTCTCTACTATTTCAAAAAAAAAAAAAGAAAGAAAATAATATAGACCCTAGCACCATGCTCTTTGCCTCTAAAACAGAAATGTGATATTTTTCAAACCAAACAGATCTTGTGTCATATAATAGCTGGCAATTTTGAAACCTGTGTGTGGAAGTATATGGTCTTCAACAGGTTCTCATTTTGAACTTGGCAACTAAAATTCTTCGATATGCCAATTTCCCTTACCATGAAATTATCTTCTATCAGAAGAAGAACAGCTGGAGGGAAAGACTCATGTCCATGATTGTATCAGGATCCTGGGGATATACCATATCGGTCAAATAAGGATGGGATGACGAAAGTAAGAGGGGTTGTAAGCCTTTGCTCTCAGACTCCAATACCACCACCTCCATTCATGCCCTAGTAATACTATACCTTCAGAATGAGAGATGTTATGTTTACTCTCTATTCATAAAAGCAGACTTATCTTAATAAACATTAAAAAGTCTGTCACTTTGATTACCCTGCCTTGTGGCAAACCAAAGATCATATACAGGCATTTGTGATAGTAAATTCTAGCTGGTCTAAATAAAATGGACCTTAAGGCAAAGCTAGGAAAGATCATACAGCTCCTACATAGGACACTTATGCTTGAAGAGTTTATCTGTGGCCTCTTAATAAATTCCCCAACTATAATACCTGCAATTAATGAAGGAAAAAGTGATATTTCAGGGCCTCCCCGGTGGCGCAGCTGTTGAGCGCTGGGTTGCAAAGCTGCCCACAGCCTCTGCAGTGCCGGTTTGATCCCCGGCTGCTCCCCGGCCACCAGAGGAGGGTCCCACATGGCGCGCAGACCTCTCCTGCCGCCCGCTGCTCCCCTCAGCAGTGTGCTTTGGTTCTTCTGCCTGCTCTGCTCCCCGCTCTGGCTCTGGTGAATTCTCTCACCCTCCCGCACTTCTGACTATACCCAGTGCTTGTATAAATAAATAAATTAATCAAATAAATCTTTAAAAAAGTGATATTTCAAAATATAGGTTAACCAGGTATCCTGAAATTAATAATGAACATACCTACCATATTTTATCTTCTTAATATTTCTCAAGCTCCAATTCATCAGAAATGAAATTTTGTGTGATTGAATACTACTTGAAAATAATTGAATACTACTTTAAGTTCCTCTTGGGACTTGAAGATTTTTGCCCTCACGATATCTGCCAATTTAACATTTGATTTTTACATTTTTTATTGTTGTTATATTTCAAATAGTATGAAATCACTGATCTTCATGATAGCCCACAAAATAGGCTTCAAATACTTTAAGAAATAAAATTTTAATGAACGTATTTTTAATGAAAGCTGACTGCCAAGCGCTTGATAAATTCAAACCTAAATAAATCAAAATATGGATAAGTATAACAGTCATATTTGCAATCACAATCTAATATGCTAAAACAATGGAGTCTGATATAAACACACATTCAAGTATTTTCTGGGGGAAAAAATAAAAAAGATTAATACCCACTAGATCACTTAGTATAATTCAGTGTGGACAACATTGTTGTATTGCAGAAAGTAGACCTCATAAATACAAAGTTATAGAGCTAGACTAGATAGTGCCCTACTCCATCCCAGCAAGAAAATTCTACCAAAAGTGGGTAGCAAGTTTAAAATTTCAACTTCATTTTCATTAAGAGCATGAAATGGCCTCACACCATATTCAATATAAAACATGACAAAGCAAAAGAAAATATGCTAATACATTATTCATGCTATTTTCTTTATATTTATCGCATGCTTCATCTTCTCATTCCAACTATCATATAATAAAAATTTAGAGTGACATATCTCTCAATAATTTTCAATCTGTCACTGCCAATTACTGAAGTATGAATAAGGATGTGGTAAGAACAATTGAAAAGCTGCAAAAAACTTAATCAGAAATCTGTTTACAGGCAATATTTAGAAATGGTCACACATTTTCAACTGCTGTTTTTCACACCTTCAGATGGAGCTCCTGGTAGAACCTGAAAGACGTGCACTGGTGCTGACCACTAAGGTGGTAATAGCTTCACGTAATTACATCCCTAAAACTCACCTCCCACTCCCCTACGCAATAGGCAACCTATAAAAGTGGTAAATCCTATCTACCTGATCCTACTTGGGAAAAATAAAGACCACAACAAATGATAAAAATAATAGAAAAGACCACCCTCTCTAACCCTTCTAGGTTTTTATAATTCTTAAAATTCAAGTTTCTATATCTCATTTCTAGACTAAAAGAAACTGTTTCTGAAGAGCCAGCACGTTCAATAAAATCAAACCGAGGCTGAGAGAGAGGCGGTGCAGGGGCCAGTGGGAAGGGAAGAGGCTGCCTCTGAAACTAGAATGTCTTCAACCCAGAGCACCTGCTCTGTTAACCAGGCACTGGTGGGTTTGTGAAGATGAGCACAAGGCTTTGCCCCAGGGGTGTCTGATCATGCATGCAATCCTGTGACACCTGACAAGGCAGCAGCTGGTCCCCTCAGTGGAGTAAAACTGCAGGAGGAGGGGCCCTCAGCTTTGCCCTGCCTGGTGAGCCTGGGAAAGCCGCCCCATCTCCCTATGCCCCTCCTGCTCTTATCAGTAAAATATGGGTTGTAATAATAACCTGTCTGACAAAACTCTAAACGGATTTACTAATAATAGAGATAATAAAATACTTGTAAAATTTAAGTGCTATAGAAATGCTAAGTTATATGAGCCAGGCCTGCCAGGGCAGTCACCTTCTTCTGATATCATTTAAAACATATTCATGGGCATATTACTTCTCCCATGATGCCAAAGAGAAGTAGCTCTGGCAAAATATTTCTAGCCTAAGAAGGATAACTGGAAATGCTTTGATTATTCTGATACAGTTTATGAAACACTTTCACTTAATTTCTGTCAACGGATCTACACAATAAAACTGTGGAATGGGTTGGGCAGATAAAATCATTCCCTTGTTATGGTCAAAGAAACTGAGGCCCAGAAGTTTCACTAACTTGCTCAGGGCCGACTAGCAGGTGGAGGCAGAGCCCAGGCTAGAGTTCAAGTTTCCTCACTGCCAGCCCTGCATTCTTTCTAACGTACTTCACGACCTCTCAAAATGGGAAGGGATGGCAATTAACTGATGAGTTGATTACCACTGGGATTTCGTTCGGCTCACATTTGCTGAGCACTTGCTATGTTTCTGTGGGTTCTCACTAGTCTCCCACTTAAGAGGCAGGTTCTATTTCTTAAGGTAATCTTTACTGAGCACTTCAGTCTAGAAAGAAAGCTCCTACTACTAAAGTGTATAGCACTCTTCCCTACAAAACACTTTGATACTATCACAGACAGGCCTCTTTTAGCTAAGTTCCCCACGCATAGTATATTGTGAGATCCCCAAGAACAGAACTCCTATCAATCTTTGCACCTCCATGGCAGTCAGAACAAGTGTTGTGTGCATCACAGATGCTCAATTAGTATTTGCTACTTAAGTTATTATTAATACGTGACTTAAAAAATACTTGTATGGAGTGAAGTTTCATAGAAAATGTTTCACATTCCAGAAAATGAAATGTCATGCTATAATTTGAGTGAATATTACATTCACGATAACATCTTTACTAATCATTATTTTGAGTCTCTGCTATACCTTAGAAGTCTATATTTTCAAGGCACAGAATTTATTTGTGGAAATCATCCTATCATAACATAAGATGGTTCTCGCTTATGGCTCAACTGATCACCAAAGCCTCTTTGCCTGATGGCTCCTTACCTGATAACATATTGTCTGTTTTTATTGAGGGGAACTTCAAAGTCATTTCATGCTTGTGCCTGTGAATCATCAGATGGTCCTCTGTTGGGAAGCGCTGTCAGACAAATAGAAAAAGAAAGAGGGGAGAGGAGCCATTCAGTTTTGTAATACATATTTGCCATCATAGAGGAAAGATTTATTCAGTATCCAAATATGACAGGAAAAACAAACCAAAAAAAAAAAAATAACTCTAAAAAAGTGTGAAAGCATGAGTAAGGAAAATGACAAATTATTTTATGTGAACAAATATTCTTGGATGTTTCTTTGAGTTCCATCCAAATATATGCGGCATTATTTCTGTTACAGTTTACCAGGGGCTTAATTGTGTTGCAGGAAACTCTGGCTGAACACCACAAAGACACAGGAGGTCTTTCCCCCTTTTCTGCATTCCCATACCTTTCCTGGGAAACTTTCCTTTCCTACAGTAAAGGTCTGTACTTCTCACATAGTGCTTAAAGAGAGCCAACTGTGATGATTCATCTGTAAACTATATATTTCCTTATGTAAAGATTTGCTTCAGAGGGTAGATTTTAAATTCTGTATTAGTTAAAGAATGAAAAAGACAAAGGTAAATGAGCAATACAAAAAGTATTAAAATAATATGTACAATGGAAATATGCTGTACATTTCTAGAATAAAAGCGTTAGAATGAATATTTATGATCACAAAGAATCCAAAAAGTAAAATTCTCCCTTTTCTATCAATACCTGTGAGAAACCTGTGAGAACCTATGTCCAAAAAAAAAAGTGAATTTACACTTGAGTAGCAATAGAGTTTTGAAAAACTATTTGGAACTTTTCTCTAGTAGCTACTATCCTACATTAACAGTGTAAAATTAAGTCTATGGCATAATTAAGCATGCTCTACATTATGGCATTATCTATAGATTAACAAAAAGGTGAAATGCATAAAGTAGGAAAAGAATTTTGATTCATGTCAGACTTTGGAAAGAGTTACATGTCATGTAACAGACATATCTATGAATGTGTACCATGACATCAGTATTATATGTTTCTCCTTATGAAGAAATCACACACTCATTTGATTTTTCAATAGTTATACATATGATTTATAGTAATATGATGTTAGTTTTAGTATTATATACTCCTTACAGTGAAGTAAGCCATCAATTTATGTTTTTAACTACTAGAGAATGATATTATGGTTGTCAAAATGCTTTTCCAAAATTCTTCAGCTGTCTGACATCTGGTCACATAATAGGACTGGATTGCCTGACCCTCTTCTGGTTGGTGGGGCCATGTGACTATTTGTCCATTGAGTCATGAATAGAAATGACATGTCACCCAGAATGTCAGCATCTACTTCCTGATGCAAGACCTTCTAGCGTTCCTCCTGGCTTTCCTCTTTAACAAGTCAATTCACAACATTAGAAGTAATGGCCCCAGGCCTCCCCAGCGGGTTGAGCGCCAAACTGTGAAGCTGTCCTGCAGTCTCTGCAGTGCGAGTTCGATTCCTGGACGGCCAGGGAGAAGCCCACATGGCGAAACAGACCTCTTCTGTCTCGCTTACTGTTCCCCTCAGCACTGTCTTTGGTCCGTATGCCTGTTCCGCTCCCTGCTCTGTCTCTGGTGAATTCTCTCACCCTCCTGTGCCTCTGACCTGTGCCCCAGTTCTTCAATAAATAAAATAAATCTTAAATATATATATAAATAAAAAAATGCTAAAAAAAAAAAAAAGAAAGAATGGCCCCTCACAGTCCTAAATTTCCAATGGATTACAAAGGTAATTTCTGAACAATGAAGCATTATAAAGAATGTCCTGTTAGTTTACAACAGAAATAATCTAATGGGCAACTGAAATAAGTCTTTGTTGTTTTAAGCCACTGAAACTTGAAGGATAAATTGTATGGTTGCAGATCCTAACCAATCCTGACTATGAATGGTATGTCTTAATAGCTGAGCTAAACAGAGTATCTGCTTTATCAAAATCAAACAAAAATACAACAAAATGCAATAAACTCTACTGAACATCTCTGAATCTTTGACATTCAGAAAATCTTTCAGTTTCCCTGTTTCTCAGGATAGTCATTATAAGTTTCGGTTATCCTTGTAAAAATCTCCCCTATATATAGCATAGATTTATGTCCACAAAAATGGAGGAATGCACTGGACTAAATCCTATAGAATATTCTAGAGGCAGTTCTTCAAATAAACATCACTCATTTGTCATTTATATCATATAAACTGGACAGGATAGAATTCACAATGTATGGTACTTATGCCAAATTTCTGAATATATAGAAGTCTGATTTACAATGACATTTGGGCCTTTGCTGCTGATTTATTTATTCTCTTAAAGTTCTATACATTATACAGTGATTTAACACACTTCTCAAACCACCATGTTAGAGTGTATTTGATGCTGATGTCATACAGTAACAGCATCAAATACACTCTAACATGGTGGTTTGAGAAGTGTGTTAAATGTCCTAGTCTTCTGTAGAAATTCTTGTTGCAATTTTTTCTGTGGTATATATAATCAATATGATAAATAAATAACATGATGATACCTTTTATTTCATATTTGTAAAACACATCTTAGCTCTGTAAAATAATAGCTTAAAATAGAATATTAACCAAAATGCTTATTAAATTATAATAATTTGCACAGCATCTCATTTTATATTACATGATAATACATGTCTTATCAAATAATTGCTTCACAAAAATGATACTATAGGACATCTGTGATTTTTTTAACTAGGTAGTAAAATAGCAGCAAATATAAATAACCAAAATGTAGAGTATGTAACAGATACAGATCTGAGAGAAGTCACTTGGTTAATGAGGAGGGCAAAGGAATACTGAAATTAATTTGGCCTTGTGAGATTAGAAAGAACAAAAGAAACTTATTTCTCTTCATTTCTGGGATGAAACTAATGTCTAATGAGCTATAATCCAAAAAAACAAAAAACCTCCCAGGTTTTTACAACAAAGCTTCCTTCCAATGAGGAAAAATGGAGTCCTCCCACCATTTCCAATTCAGTACAAGTACCGATCAGTCATATTTACATCCCTTTTTTTGGTTCCTGCCATCCTTTCTTCTCACTTTGGGTTCCATGCTAGAGAGTGTTGCCACATTAATGTCCAAACTACAATGGACTAGAATGTGATTTCCTATAATCTAACCACGGGAACCTTGGAATCACTGGGCAACTACTATATTTTCTCAATTCCAAAACTATTTCAGTGGAAAGACACACAGTTTTATAACAGCTTGTCAAGAAAAAAGAAACACTTCACATGAAATAGATGATGAATTTTTGATGCATCTTTACATTTAAATTTGGCAGGGACTGGAAGGGGAGAGGCTTGGAACTTTACTTAAAACCAAAAACCTATGTAAATCCTCAGTTCCCATGTTTACCCAAACTTCTCTGTCCACTCAGTGTACTGAAGGAAATGACCTACTCTCCTTGAGTGAGAAGGTCAAGGTCATTCACAATGCACACCCTGCCACTTTTATTACCATTTCTATCTCAGAATTTGCATACAACTTCATAAATTCTATTTCCATTCCATTCTGTATCAGTGAAATAATCAACCCCCTCTCTTTCTCAAGATCCTCTACACCCCACAAATGTTCTGTGATCAGTGGTGGTCCTTCAAGCCAGCATACTCATTGCTCCCTACCCTGAACTAAATCCATCCTGGCTAACTTTTAATTTAAAAAGAAACTCTCTCAAGCTGCTTACTTCTCAAGCTACCATTATATCACGATGCTTCCCGGCCCTCCCTAGCACTCTTGAAAGAGTCCTCTGTGCTGGCCACCTCCACTTCCTCACCACCCACTAGCTCACTCATTAATCCCTTACAACTTGGCCCCTCCTGGACTCCTCTCAACAGGTTGAAGGCAAGCACCCAACTGCCAAGTCCAATAGCCTCTTCTCAGAACTCTCACTGTCCTGGCTCTAGCAGAGTCTGACACCAGTGACCACATGTCTGTGGCATTTATTTACTTATGTTCTGCCTGATTCCAAACAGGAGAAAGTGTGGCTGAGAGCAAGGCATGAAATAGAGTGGGAGGTCATCGATTAGAAGTAGGTGACCTCCCAGAAGTGAAGGGATCCAAAAGGGAGGCTAATGCCAAAATGTAAACCATCAGACCATCGCTCACAACCGGGGCAATTTGGTTTAAAACCAAGGGAAACGCATTAAGCAATGCCTGGAGATATTTTTGGGGTGGCGACAACTAGGGAGTGCTACTGAGATCTGGGAAGTACAGGCCATGAATGCTGCTAAATGTCCTATATTGTACAGGACAGTCCCCTCCACCCCAACAAAAATCATTCTGCTCCAGATGTCTATAGTTCCAAGTTTGGGATATTCTGCCATATAATTCAATGAATTCTCTGCTGCATCCTCACTCTGACTCATCTAAGTACGAGTGACTCAAAAGGACTTCTTTTACTGTAATTCACAGCTTTAGACACTGCTGGGTCCCTGACTTAGTATGAACCCTCCTTGGCTTTTGCTAGTGTCTTGAGAATCCCATCCTCTTAAACTCCCTTATTTAGAGAAGCCCCTATTCTCCTCCCTGATAAACCCCTTAATGATACTTTTCAAGTGACCTGGGCTCTTCCTTAATGGAAAGTTGCACTTCACTAATTAATTGATTCAAACATCATGTGGTTACAGATTTGATGCATCACAGCCTAGACGGGAAGCTCTGTGAAGGCAAGGATGCCTGCCTTGCACGCATAAGCAGACTCTACAAAAACATGTTGAGTCACTCAAATTGAATGGAATTAGTCATATGTTCACAGTCAAAACAAAGCAACTGCTCAAATTATCTGATTCCCTCTGGCTATTGGGACTTCTCTTTAAGAAAAATAAGTAGACATTTTATCTTAATTACAGAAGGCAATTTTCTACATTCACAATGAGAGTCCTGCCCTCATAGAATTTTTCCCAGTGACTAATGAATCTGTGTTTTCCCATTCTTTACCACTTCAAAATAACCTCCAAAAATGACCTGCTGAAAATAGTTGAAATTCCAAATAATTTTCTCTATTTCTTTTCTGATTTATAGGTTACAAATCAACACTTACACAAAAGCTCCTGCCAGAACCTGAGTAAAGGACTCTAGTTTCTCACTCAGTAGCTGACGTCACCAGCAACATGGCAAGGCAGCACCAGCAATGACGCCTCCTACTCCTGTGGCATCTTGCCTCCAGAAGACTCCCAGAACCCACCACAAACTCCCTCGGGAGATGTAGTAGGAAGGGCTTTCCAGGGGCATCACCTCGCATTGACTCCTAGACACTGCCCTAACCCACACTGACAGCCCACTGCAGACACAGGCAGGAGCTGGGACTCAGTTCCACCTGAAACCACTGAGTGGTTTGGGGAAAGAGAGCTTCACTAACCCATGTAGGAGAGATGTTGTCTCTGAGTTCTAAGCTTCACCCACATCCCATAAAATGGAAATCTTGGCATGAGACCCACCACATGTGCTCATTTTCCAATGACTACAATGAGAAGGTAGCCAGAGGATCAAGTATAGAAGAAATGTCGCCAGCAAATTCCAAAGATAACATATTATCTTTATCTTTGATTGTAGGTGATAGACAGTTCCAATTTCTTTCAAAGAGATTGGCCCACTATGACAGTGGCAGTCACAGCAGAGTAACAGTAACAGCAGTGGACATGAACTGAGCACTTACTGTGTGCAGGCCCTACACTAAACACTGCACCCACAAGGATCCCACTGGATGGAAGCCATCAGATGCCGAATGATGTTTTATCCAGCACACAAACCAATTTCCCCTTTTAATAATTAAACAAATGGAAAAAACTGTGGATTCTACATGAGTTATAGGAAGTTTAATGTACTCAAAGAGAAAAACAAAAGAAAATTCTGTCTCCGTTGTTGAGCTATCTCACTGGCAATCTAAGGGTTCAGCACTCAAGTGACTATTATAAAAGCAGGCACCTTCTACCCTCTTTCTGATATAACAGTCCTGAACATCTGGTCAGAAGGATGCATCTGGCTTACTTTCAAGGGAAAGTTATGGATGGAAATGACCAGCACTGATGTATTTCAGAGGCCATGAGAGAAGTAGTCCAAACTGTTCAATGTGGAAAATAATAACGATGATGATGGCGATGATGGTAAAGAAGGTGAGGGGACTTTGACAGTGTCTTGATTGCTAAGGCATGATTGCTAAGTGAGAGTTGTTTCCCTGTCAGAAGGTCCAACCCTGGAAGTCCCAGCAGAGTATTCCAACACTCACCTGGGAGCAGCCTGGGGCACTGCAGACAAATGGCCTCTCCTGCTCCAAATTCATCTTGGATTCCTCATAAAGCTGAAGGGTTGGGGGAGAGGGAGGAAGGAAAACAGAAATTCATGAATATCTCCTTCTTCTGCCCGGGAAACATGAGAAAGGCAATCACTTGGAGCACCCTTTCTAGGCTAATTCCCAAAATAGATGAGAAAAACATGCCACTGAACACAGGGCCCGCCTTGCTGCTGATTTCCTGAGTGCACATTTATTGTACTTCGCAGGAAAATGGGGCTGTTTTAGCAGAAATATTGACTGTAGAAATCCACCTGCTGGGTGGTTGCAAGAAGACTCCAAGACTAAGTTCACACTGGTCCTTTGGGACTAGCTATTTAGGACAGCAGGAGGAAGGTCAGGAACTGGCTTTGTGTCAGTGTAAAGGCCACCCCTGACCTGAGTAACAGGTCAAGCGATTCACCTGCCATCCTCCTATGGAGCTTCAGAGTGAGCATGGGGCACACAGCCGCCTACAGCCAACTTTGAAATGACCCTGGTGGCAAACCATGGCTTTCAACTCCCTTTCACAACAGGCAAGACCAAAGTGATCCCAGTTATGGAGGGGCAAATAGAAATGAGAAAATGCAAAACACATTACCGTGGACATTTTGTAAATTTGGCTTTACAGGCTGACTTGAAATTACTATTAGATTAAGACCACTGCCCTTTGCCCCAGATAAGTAGCTTTGCAGGGGAAATTCTAATGTTAGGATCACAGAGATATGTTAAATTATAGAGGGGTCTTTCCATATGTCTGCATTGGCTCCTAATCTTTGCTAGGTAAACACTGAGCATAATCAAGATTGCAATTGTTCCCCAAACTGATAAAAGTACAGTATATATGGTTATGTGGCTACCAACCTTATACAGTAACATTTAAAAAATTAAATATCATAAGGAGTACTATGCAAATTTAAGTGCTACAACTTAACTCATTTTTTAAATCAGTTCTAGAATTGAGTTTATATAAGTTACACGGGCTACTGGTGGGACATGATTCTATCAGGAAACTAAAAACTGCTGCTTTGTGTCTGATCACAGGAAGTAATTTGCTTCCATAAAATGCTGCTTGTAGATGAATCCAAAGGACTCCCAAATCACCTTCACCCCTAAAAGTGGGAACTCTACTCCATCCAACTCATGGAATAGTCAGTCACCCTTATTACATGGAACCTTCACTGTCTTGCAGAAAAACAATTTTATTTTATAGGTCATTACACCCTGCCCTCAAGATTGATGAATTTCACCTATATCCTTTGGGAAATAAATGCATACTTTCACATTTCTAAAACATAAAGTGAAAAGACAAGCTTTAAATAACATCACAGTGACAAATATTAAAAAACAAAACAAATAAAAACTGTAAAGTCGGGCCTCCCCGGTGGCGCAGCGGTTGAGCACTGGGTTACGAAGCTGCCCGCAGCCTCTGCAGAGCCGGTTGGATCCCCGGCTGCTCCCCGGCCCCGGAGGAGGGTCCTGCATGGCGTGCAGACCTCTCCTGCCGCCCGCTGCTCCCCTCAGCAGTGTACTTCGGTCCTTCTGCCTGCTCTGCTCCCTGCTCTGGCTCTGGTGAATTCTTTCACCCTACCGCGCTTCTGGCTGTACCCAGTGCTTGCATAAATAAATAAAAATAAATCTTTCAAAAAAAAAAACAAAACTGAAAAGCCTTGGGCCTCCCCTGGTGGCGCAACGGTTGAACGCTGGGCTGCGAAGCTGCCCACTGCCTCTGCAGCACCGGTTCGATCCCCGGCGGCCACTGGCGAGGGTCCCACATGGTGCACAGACCTCTCCTGCCACGCCCACTGCTCCCCTCAGCAGTGTATTTCGTCAGTCTGCCTGCTCTGCTCTCCCCTCTGGCTCTAGTGAATTCTCTCACCTTCCCGCGCTTCTGACTATACCCAGAGCTTGTATAAATAAATAAATCTTAAAAAAAAAAAACTGTAAAGTCTCTTCACACTATTCCAGCTCATCACACAATTTTCACCAACGCCCTTTGCATTCTCTACTTGGGATGACTTTCCACTGGTCACTTATCCACACAAGTAACTTAGCATCATTTGACAGCTCTTGGGTATCAGGCATACTGTTAAAACTCTTTTAATCTATGAGAAGGAGAGAAAAACACAGATTATCTGGACATTTTCCATTTTCCTTATCTGAAGAAAGTCATAGGTAATTAAAATAACTTCTCCTAACTCATTTGTTTGATCACTTATCATAGAACATTTAATGTGTGTGTTTAGATGTGGGAGGAAGTTTTGTGAGCAGTTGCTAAAATAATGAAAGAATGGCAATATCAACAATCATATTACTAGCTAATATTAAGATGACATGATAGTGAAATGGGAGAGCTCTGCATGAATACACCAAAGCCTACATCCAACACTAGTCACTGGTGATAATGATCAGATTCATGCCCAACTCATAAAAGTGGCCAGGATTGCAAATGCTATTGGTAACTGTTATGAGAGCCATTAATAAAGCAAAGTGAGGAAGGAGCTCTGCCATCTAAGTGTGAGGAGAGACAAAATTACAACTCTGTTGCAAAACGAATCCTCCAAAATGTTGACTCTCCATAAATTGAGGTCCATGATGTTAATAGTTTAGTAATCCTGCTTGACATCAATACTAACTACCATATTTGAATTATTGGTTGCAAACTGTACATGAGTTACAACAAATACCATAAAATTAATCTGTGATGCTGGTACTTGGAGATAGGACAAGGTTCAACCATACAGATTTGTCTGTCTTATAGACACTTCATAACATGGATGTTATGTGTAGAGGAATATGGTCAATCAGAAATACGGAACCTGTCCTCAAAGAGTTTAGAGTTCAGTCATCAATATTTTCAGCTGAGTTGCTGCTGTCATTTTATTACTTTATCTTTTAAACATAAATGAATCTGTATTGATTCATTGTAAGCTATGGATGCCATGAACCAAACGTTTTGTAACATAATATTGGAGTAAGTGCCCAATGCTAAAATGGCAGTTGCCAAACTAAAATAAGTTTTAAGTGATTAATAAATTCTGGGATGAGTGGGTGTGTATACATAAGCGTGTGAACCTCAACTGCTTTATTTTGATGCTCTGCAGTTCCCACATTTAGCCCTCTACAAACAGCACGCCCTTGTTCATTCCTTTCTGTGTAGGTGTTTCTGATCGTTTTACTAAATGGCACCAGCCACCACGCAGGTTTCGTTACTTTTATCAACTAGTACGATCTGGTCTGATGGATCAGTCAAGAGCCATGGTCTGTTTTTATGGTCTATGATTATGGTTCTTTTCTAGCACATATTGTAATAATTATTCTCTCAAGCAGACTCCTACTAAAGCCCTGTGTATATTCTTTTATCATCCATCAAGTGAGGGCAAATTACTCAGGCATGATTTTAGCCAGGTTGTTCTGCATTTGATCCTCAGCAGTCAGACCTTATCCTCAAATTTCCCATTCAATTGTTTTACTACTTGGAATATTTTAATGAATCAAGTTTTGCTCAGCAATTGCCATCCTCAGGCTCCATTGCTTAGAGCTGACATAGTAGGCATTTTGTAAATGTTGGTGGGATGGATGATGAATCCTGAATCATCATAAGAAACCCAAACAGATTGCATTTTCTCTACTTTTTTTTTAAAAGATTTATTTATTTATTTATTTATTTATTTATACAAGCACTGGGTACAGTCAGAGGCGCGGGAGGGTGAAAGAATTCACCAGAGCCAGAGCAGGGAACAGAACAGGCAGTCCGACGAAATACACTGCTGAGGGGAGCAGAGGGCGGCAGGAGAGGTCTGCGCACCATGTGGGACCCTCACCCAGTGGCCCGGGATTGAACCGGTGCTACAGAGGCTGCGGGCAGCTTTGCAACACAGCGCTCAAACGCTGCGCCACCAGGGAGGCCCCATTTTCTCTACTTCTAAGGCAGTGGTTCTCAAAATATTTGGACCAAAACCAAGTTTTCAGTGAGACAAGGTTGTACAGGCTATCTTTCTACCTGTTCCCAATCATGGCCAGAAAAAAAGTCTCACCAGATTTAATAAGAAAAAGTCAAAGTTGCTTTTGGTGAAAAAAACAAGGTAAAGCTAGTTTTCACTAAATTTCTCATGTAAATATATTAATGCATTACAAAGCCAGCCTCTTAAATAATTGCCATTGACATTAAAACTACCAAAGTACAGTCTATTAACCACATATGGCTGCTTATGACCCCAACAGTGCACCCTTTGAGAAACACTAATTGACTCTTAACTTTGATTAGATACAGTCATAATTGTAGTAGGCTCTGTCATGATTTAAGAGTTTCTAAATAGTACTATTTTTTGTGGCTCCTTTCAAAGTTCACTTAGAACGAATGCCTCGTGAATTTAGTTTGCCCTCAAATTTTTTGAAAACAACACAAAACCCTAATAACAAACCCTAATAAAATGAGTAGAGGTTTTTTGTAGTTGACAAGGAGATGACAGGCTTGATTTACAATTCAAACCCTCAACTGCCACTGGATGCCTCTGGCCGCCCAATGAGCAAGAATCTCTTCATTGTTCACTATTTGACCCCACAAATTCCTCCTGGTCTAAAATGGGAAATCTTCCACAATGGTTGTTGCAAGCCATTCAAAAGCTTTGCCAGGCATCTGGGGATGTACTTGGAAATACCATTTCATGAGGGGCAAACATCGCAAAACAATGTTACTAAAAATGTGGATAGTGTACACAAATATTATAAATACATATTTTTTAAACTTAAGGGCAACAACTGAGTTCAGAGGGAAAAATACCCTTTAATCTGGTTTGCTGTAATCCCATGTAAATCACAGGGAGCCATTACTGATCCTTAATTAACATCAAACTTCAATATTAGTGGAATGGCACAAATTTCCCCCCAATAACAGCAGGTAGATTCATACAGTGATATGGAATTTAAAACCTTGTTTTAATCGGAATATCTGGCCACACTCTTTTCAATACTAAAAATTCTGGAAACTTTAAAGTTGCAAACTGAAACTGTAAATACAAATGAACACC